TAGATAGATAGATAGATAGATAGATAGATAGATAGATAGATAGATAGATAGATAGATAGATAGATAGATAGATAGATAGAGATAAGAGAGATTCTTATGGATTATAGATAGATACAGATAGATGATAGACCATAAAGGCCATAAAACCAGATGCCATTTGTTGAACATTGCTTAGCCGCGCAGGTGCTGGGCCTCGATGGCAGCCGTAAGCCGAGGACTACCGAGCGAAGGAACCGTGCGGCCGCCTGCTTGATTCTCTCAAAAGGGGGCGTGGCCAATTGCCCCTTCCCCAACTCCTCCCTGCTTCCCCAAAAGGACAAAATAAATAGCTGAAATAATAAATATATTACACAGGAACGGCCGGACATCAACCGTCCGAAGGTCCAGCCGCCGTACAGGATTGAGCCGTGAGAGAGCTCGGATCCAGCTTTGCAAATTCGGTCTCGTTTTTCTCCGGCTTCTCGCTATTTCTGTTCCACCGAGTCCCAAAAAAGCTTCTTTTTCTTCCTCTCCTCTTTTTCGGCTTTGGAAAAGATTTTTCTCGTTTCATTTTTTCCGTCCATTCTTTCCTCGTTCTGCTCCCCCCAAATCTCCCCAAAAGTGGGAATTATTTCAACTGAAGAAACCGGTGCCAAATTGACCATTCCTAGCTTCTTCTGTTGCCTTTCCTCCCCTTTCTCCCCGGTCCCAGATCCGGCTCCTGCTTCGCTTAACGTCCAAGCCCATTGTCCGTGGCAAGCCGAGAAACAATGTGTGTCTTTCGGGCCCACAATGGGGGGAGTCCTCTTTGCAAAGACAAGCAAGGGGGAAACTCTCCTCCCCACCGGGAATTCCCGGCCTCCTCCAAGATGGGGAGAAGGGGGAACAGGAAGAGTTTGAGACCCCTGCCCCACATCCTCGTGTCCAGAGGTCCTATTTGCGCCCTCGCCGACTCTGTAGCACTTCCAGAATTCGGGCCTTTTGCTTCAGCCACTGGTTGGAGAGGCGTTTCGTAGGCTTGGGGAGGAAGAAGGTGTATTTCAGACGAGGGGTCTTCTGATCGGACACCACCAACGCCTGCAGGGTGAGCGGCTCTTTCAACGGACCCGGCCCGGTGATCATCTCCATAGGTTTGGTGGCCCCGCTGTAGCGCAAAGTGACGCCGCCCCGGAGGTGGACATCTTGTTCGGAGGGGATCAGGACGTAGTTGCCGTTCAGGGCGTAGGAGCCGTCCTGCCGGCGGAGGGCCAGGTAAATGCCGTCACTGGACGAGGCTGAGCTGCTAATCTGGCGGATCAGGATGCTGGTAGCTCCGGCGGGGATGGTGACCACGTCGTTGTAGCCGTACCTGCGGGGCGGAGAAATGAGAGGCAGGGAGGTGAAAGGCTGAACTTGGACGGGACGGAGATTCAGTACGATGTTTTATTGTTTTATACGTCGCTCGAGATGGTGGGCGACCTTAATACGCCTCCCTCCTCCTCTTTTCCTCAGAACCGCAAACGTACGAGGTGGGTTGAAGAGGGTCTGGTTTAAATTTATTCACCTGGCTTTCATGCTTAACCCAGGACTAGAACTTGCTCTCTCCTAGTGATCGGCCCAGAGTTATCCAGCTGGCTTTCCTGTCTTAAGGCGGGACTAGAACTCCCAGTCTCCTAGTGATTGGCCCAAAGTCACCCAGCCAACTTTCATGCCTAAGGCAGGACTAGAACTCCCAGTCTCCTGGTGATTGGCCCAAAGTCACCCAAGCCAACTTTCATGCCTAAGGCGGGACTAGAATTCCCAGTCTCCTGGTGATTGGCCCAAAGTCACCCAAGCCAACTTTCATGCCTAAGGCGGGACTAGAATTCCCAGTCTCCTGGTGAGTGGCCCAAAGTCACCCAATTGACTTTC